AAATGCCTATCACGTTGTTGTAAATGCCTATCACGTTGTGGTAAATGCCTACCACGTTGTGGTAAATGCCTACCACGTTGTGGTAAATGCCTACCACGTTGTGGTAAATGCCTACCACGTTGTGGTAAATGCCTATGACGTTGTGGTAAATGCCTATCACGTTGTGGTAAATGCCTATGACGTTGTTGTAAATGCCTATCACGTTGGGGCAAATGCCTATCACGTTGTTGTAAATGCCTATCACGTTGTGGTAAATGCCTACCACGTTGTGGTAAATGCCTACCACGTTGTGGTAAATGCCTACCACGTTGTGGTAAATGCCTACCACGTTGTGGTAAATGCCTACCACGTTGTGGTAAATGCCTATGACGTTGTGGTAAATGCCTATCACGTTGTGGTAAATGCCTATGACGTTGTGGCGAATGCCTATCACGTTGTGGTAAATGCCTATGACGTTGTGGTAAATGCCTATCACGTTGTGGTAAATGCCTATAACGTTGTGGCGAATGCCTATCACGTTGTGGTAAATGCCTATCACGTTGTGATAAATGCCTATAATGTAATGTAAATGAGTAGGATAAGACAGTCATGGCTTTCCATATCTGTGGAGATATCTGTACGATATTACATCAAACCGCACTGTACTGAACATATGAATAAATTAGTAATACGTTGGCATGATTGGTTGATATGTGGGCATCACGTGATATAGTATGAAGATGCGCGTAATGCAACTTTCTCTTTTGATGGTAATGTTAATTATGCTAATTATTCATATTACGCAGATTGCGATTGGTCAGCGGCAATCACTCTGATATCAAACAAGGTGAAATTGTACACGTCACTATTGAAACATATGACTCAAGAAATATGCGAAAAAACGTGGGTGGTGATTTCTTTTTTGCGGTGATGTCAAATGGCGGAAATGTCAGTACGGCTGGCAGGGTTGCTGATCACATGAATGGTACATATAGTGTACACTTTTATGCTGGTTGGAATGGGTCGGCAAGTATTCACGTAATTCTGGTTCACCCACGCGAAGCCGTACATTGGTTGAAGACATCGTTTCTTCCACGAGAACGACGTATAGAATGGACTGGTATATTCTCAAACGTGACAACGAATGAAACGTCTGTGTGCTATGTCTCAGGTTCAACCGGAAGTGCGGAAGACGTGTGCGAGTTTGGAAATCGTAATTCACTGGGGAACACTGTGTTTGTATGCGAGAAAGCTGATAGTCTACCGTGTGAGACGCTTACGTACACTCGAGTCAAGAAGTCTTCTCTGAGTGACGCTGCCGAAAAAATTGTATCCGAGTATGAAGTAGACTATTTGTTCAAAGGGTAGGTAAAAGAAACACTTTATACTTTACTACACTACACTACGCTGCACTGCACTTCACTACACTCAATCTAGATCCTAGTTTGGGGTTTTCATTGTTTTTTATTTTTTTATTTAATTATTTAGTTTTCATATACTTTTTGGTTTAATATTTATTCGCTGGCAGTTCTTTTAATACTTTCATAATCATGGATTACAAAAAGATTAAAAAAATATAGAAAAAATAAAATAAAATAATATAATAAAATAATATATAAAATTAAAAAAGCTACGCTACGCTACGCTACACTACACTACGCTACACTACACTACACTACACTACACTACACTACACTACACTACACTACTGGCATTTATAATTATATACCTTTATAGCATGTCCTGTATTAATGCGAGTAACCCGATGCGTTGAATCTCTGTAAAAAACGTCACGTAGACATATGCTTGGTCGGCACAATTTAAAGCTTTTCGTGTCAACTATTACGTAATAAATGCAACAGTCTCCGTATTCACAGGATATCCACACCAGATGTTACCGAGCATTCCTGTAGATTATTGCTATACTATGAAACCAATATTCGTTGTGATGCATATTCTGTTAAAATTAATCTGAGACACACACTAAACTCTCGAGTTGTTTCCTCAATCGCAATTTTACGACGATTTCACTCATGTGACCACTGTTAGTCTGAGCAAACATTAGTTGTGTTTTGGTGCGCTTCCGAAGAAGAATTCGGGCAAAGTAACAATCTATTCAATAAACGACGCAATACGTCAGGATACGCCAGACACTGGTAAGCTGTATCTTTTAGATTTGTTTTAGGAAAGTTACTCAACATTGAAAAAGCTTCCAACTAAGTTTTGCTGCTGCAGCAATACAACTTGAAACAGCATTGTTGTATCACATTGTGATGCAATTGATCTCCGTATCCACGTCTATTACCCGGTCTATTAACTCTTTACAGACCACATATAATGACTAAGCTGGCAGGAAGTCCACTCAAGCTTGAAATTCAAGGTAAGTTTGATCGGTACAATTGTTGCACGGTATGGGGTCATTTTCGACGTGCCTCCAACGTGACAAACACAACGCGTGTACATATCATTTATCATTATACATAAGTTACAGCGTGTGTAATTTTGCGGTATTTTACAGGGTATTTTCATCCTACCATATAAAGAAATGCGATTTCCAAATATGGAATGATTACGCGCGTGAGTGTCCTCTAATAATAAAATCAAACATGGCTGTCATCAGGGTTTGACCAGACTCCACACAAAGAAGTTCGCTGTTTCTGTTCCAAACTTTTTGGATTTCGGCATTCCCAAATGATGTATCTATGAAAAAAAGATGTATAATGATGCGGTTATTACAAGAATACATCAAAGTATGCACTCAGACAGTATGCCGCTTCGCGTCCGTCGATACTCCAGCTGTAATGTCTTCATGCATACTTTGAGGTATTCTCGTAATAACCTCATGTTCACACACACTTTGAAAGCGCATCACTGCACTTCGACTAGTGCTCTTTAAAGATGCACTCATAGTGTAATCATATAGATATTGTGTGAAATATTTGTCTAAATTTACTCGAATTGTGGGAAACATAAATAGTGAGTAATAATGTACTAGTATTAATCTGCATATGTTTTGTTTATTTCAGGGAGGCATGACAGTAACTTTGACAACCTCCAACCATGTATTGCAGAGCTTCCCATACCTATCAGCGATGGATTCTGGATCGATGGAGAAACATGGCAGTCACTTGTGTGCAGAGCTAGACATTTTACTTTGCAACAAGCATTGGAGTGTCTGCGAGGAAAGTCGGTTTACCTTTTAGGTGACTCGACAGTGCGCATGTGGCAGAATTTCTTTCGTGTTAACATGACTAGGACAATGTCAGCCGCTGGGGCGCATCGACTATTGACCAGCGACGAATACAACGTATCAATTTTATTTGAATTTCCAGCTATTCGGATCGGTTCAGTTTGGTCGGAATTCAAGAACGATAAATACGAATCAGACGTGCTTGACAGCTTACAATCGTGCAATATCATCGTTACCTTGAGCCTGACGTATCATTTCGAGTCGTGGACGAATCGATCATATATGGAAAGGCTACACCATGTGCACAGTGCTGTTCAACGCCTTATGTCACGGTGCCCAGGCGCTATCGTTATCATCAAGAGTTCCCACCCGAGGGAGCACACGACGCGGTACAGTCACGTCCATAGTAGCGACTGGACGCTATTCCAAATGAACACAATAACGAGGAAAATGTTTTCTGGTATGGGTGTAAGTTTCCTGGACGTTTACGACATGTCATTGTCACATTATTCAGTTAACGATGTCCACATGCACATCCCAGCTCGCCAACAAATAGACTTATTTCTTTCATTTGTGTGTCCGTGATGTCTCGAAAATGAAATAATACATTGAATAACATGTCATATTCATCCATACTATGATTTTCTAGCTCCATGCGACACATAATTTTGAAGCTGTGTTATGTAATTACAGCAAGCACATTGAATAAGTAACTGTGAAGAGACTTCATTTTTTCGAGAACAATTTTCGTAGATAACTTATTTTTACAAGTCAACATTCGTATATTATGGACACTGTGTAATCTGAACAAAATATATGTCTATCTACTTATCTATCTCATTAATAATATAGAGGTAGTCATTGAATTTCTCAGTTATGGTACATTTTAAACTCCTACTAGCACAATGCCAAGGGTCTTGGCTTCCCAATTCTTTCTGATTCGTGAGCTTGATATAGTCCACCTCCCAGTCACATAGTGCTAGAGTCTGTATAAAGCTCAAAAGGCTTTCCATATATAGCTAGGACAGGAGTTGTATACAGTTTCTTTATAATTGTTCGAACGACATTCCATGTTTTCTATGTATGGAAACATCTGTAACCAGTTCACTCTTCTCCAACTTGGCTTATTGGCTGCCCTGTAGTCAACTGATGCAAAGGTTAACTTGTTCAAGGACCTCTTCATACAGAGCATTATGTATTTTCAAGCATGGTTGTTTCACAGGAACCTTTGATCCAAGATAATCCCACTCAACCATCGCTACCACAGGGTTAAGCAACCATTAGACCCAAATGCACTGGAATCAACACTTGGACCTGGCTTTATATTACCTGGTATCTGTGCAACTCTATCAGGCATTGAGCATTCTTGACTCAATTAGACTACCATGTACACTTAAGTATCTAGTACGTCAAATGAATGAATAGCGTAACATGCAACAGGGGCCAAATGTGTACCTTTGGTCACCATATGAATGACCTGCATACAGTTCCAACCAATGTAGTTAAGATTGTGTCAGTGCAAGTTGTGTCTTTAGTAACCAAGACTAGTATAGACTGGGATCACCAAACACTCTTAGTGAAAACATGACTTCAACTTCATTAGCCACCAGTGACTCTTTGTATTCGTATAATGGCGTGAATGACAGATGTGATAAATGCTTTTTATAAAACAAGTCTGATAGCATGACCACCTGAGATTCTGTTTTCACATGGGCTATTTAGCAAGCATCTGTTTCATCTGTTAACATGTCGCCACACTTGTTCTACTTCTACTGGATGGATAACTATGTGACAATATGTACTTACATTTAGGTCTATTCGGGCATTGCTCACCATATACGTATTCAAAATTACAGAAATTAATTTAAGAAAGCAGATTATGCATGGGGACAGTGTTTTGAAAAAATGTTACGAAATTAGCACTCGACATTTTATGCACGCTAAAATGCATCAATATAACTATCCACTGCATCGTTTTTCAGTATGGCTGTCCGCTTGTGCTTTAGTGTGAACGGAAATCAGTTACACACATCAGATCTCAGTTCAGATTTTTACGCTAATTAATGTTGCCGTAGCCATAACAAATTTACGTGTCAAATAATTTTGCACGTACATGTAACGTAAAACTTGTAGTATTTGTTATACCTCATTTACGTACTGCAATAAATTGGAACCATGTTCCTAATGTTTCACCCAAGCGATGACGCTCGATTGATTCCCCAATCCGGGTCTCTGATCGGACTATAGCACGTGGAACCGTTGACCACGAGACCATCCTTGGAAACAAATACATAATTCAGTGAAATGGTGTAATATTACTACGACAAATAAATAGACTCAATGGAATACATATATGAACTGACGAGCATACTTACCGTACAAATAAGTTATTAAATTTGAACAAGAAATCGCCGAGATGATGTCTATATTGTAGCACTTGTCGGGCATAAAAGGGTTTGCCGTTGACCTCAATTTTTACATTTCATTCCCGGCATGCAGTGCGAATACATTTTTCTTATAGATGGTGGTCAATATATCAGGTAAAAATGATGTAGCGTTAGTTCGTTCGGTAATTTCCAGTAAATGCATACTGAATCAGTTGAATAGGATAGGTTTCACAAAACCATATATTACATCCCATGTACATACATACATACATACATACATACATACAGAATCACCACAAACAGGTGTAATTTGCATTAATACTAAAAAAAAGATTTGTATCCAGTCAACTTTGCAGTTGAGCCTGATTTTGTATATTTTTTAAATTAAAAAAAAAAACATTACCACAACAGTATGCAAAGTCCTCAAAATTGCCATCGAGAAATTGCTGTAAAACACAAAATATGGCTTTAGTGGTCACTCACTGCTGATATATTAGTTTACCAATTCAAACTTAGTTTGTCACCATACACGGAGAAATACAATTAAAAACTCATTACTCGACTTATGAATCTGGTGATGTTATTCAACCATATCATCTGCTGGACGATTTTCTCATTCTGTGTATTTATCAATCTCAATGCATAAGTAACTTCAGCATGTTGTTTCTCATCACTCACTGTTGGGGTTGTTGCCAAGCTGTACTGAGCAGTTGCTCATAGATCTCATTTTCGTCTGGTGCAATACATACAATGTTGCATATTTCATCATCATCTAGTCTACAAAAATCCTGTTTCTAAGAGCTTTAACATGATTTAACAATTTCTTCAAACAGAGACTAAGCGCTGCTACAGATTAATCTGGGTTCATGCACAGTTTCTGCATCAGCATACAGTATCTAGAAACAATGCTTTTGCTGCATCGGCTCCAAGTAGGAATCTGTGTCCTGTAATTTCGTGAATCTTTGCTTCCAAATTGTCAGATTTACACGCCATCTCTGATATGTTTCTCCATAAATAAAAATAAATATGTGGCATCTGGGATGGTACTGCAATAGGAATTACAAACTTATATTTGCATCGGAAACACATGGAAACCAGCTTGCCAACTGATCACTTGGTGAATAAGATCTGTCTCGGTCACTACACTTCAATGCTTCACAGGTATTGTGCAACCCATGCTGCGAATGTTTAATCTCAAACTGGTCCTTTCCGTCACACAACCCGTATTACTAACCATTTAAGGCGTTGGTAACTTAACATCAGGAAATAACTGGTTGCTCTCAAAAGGCTTTAGGTGTGGTCGCAGAAATCTATAGTGTAGAACTCCCTAACTGATGAAAAATAATCGCCATGACCCATGATAAACCCCCCCCCAAAAAAAAAGCACCTCTGGGGTACCACTCAACTCTAGATCCGACATACCCCCAGACATAACTCAAGAAAACACAATAAAAATTCAATCAGTACACAACAAGATAGAGGGCCAATTTAACACTTAAAAAAAAACACGTCACGAAGCATTCACCAAAAACAAAGCACACACATCTCTGTACAACCGATTGATGGCACAATAGGACATCAGACTCCACAAGCTCAATCAAATCTCCCTTTGGAGATGGGGAAACCTCCCATCTAATGGAGGTCAAAGCCATTGGAGGTCAAATGTTAACCAAGATCATTTTGTTATGACTATTTTGGCCTAGAAACATTAAATGACCTGCACACCCAGAACATAAGTTGGACAGAAAATAAATTTATAAGGGGGTTAGATGATGATGCCGTTGTAATCATTGGTGGGCAATAATAGCACAATTAGAATAACTTTATTTTGAAATTATAACAGCTAATTAAATAATAAATTTATTAAAATACAATAAACTGTTTATTAAATGTTCACTTGGATTCTTGTTGTTTATTATTGTACACGGTATACATCAATCTTGGCTTTACATATGAAAACTCAAATAACTATGCGAATGTTCAGCTGATTTTGGCTGGGATAAGTTCACAAAATGGTGAAAAGCATTCCACATGCACAGGAAGTATTGAATTGCAGTTGTTACCAAAGCTACGACTTTGGGTCGTATCAAGATGGTAAACCAGACAACTTCGTCCAGTTCATACGCAATTCGTTGCCATTTCCTGAGACCAACCATGCTGTCTTCTCCTCCAAAACCTTTTTGTGGTACGCAGACTGTTTTTGCTTACTGAACAAAACATCACACGTGTCAGGTGTGATTATAATTGGTTATAAAATGAAGTTTGAATGTATATGTATAAAATCGGGTAGGCAGATTAAGTTAAAAATCAAAAGTATGTTACTCAAACAGTAACAGCTAGGACATCTCTATTAAATTTGGTAAAATTTGCCACAGTTTTAACAAAAATTTACAATTAATTGAATATGGAAATTCAATTGAGTCAATATTGAATAGCAAATGCATGAACTGTTAGTTTACAAGGTATTATTAAAAGAATGGTTGCCACTAGTCTTCTATATTGATTAAAAAAAACGATGTGCATATACACCCAGTGAAGTGCATTCATCTTGTAAAAATGACAATCGACATGCCAAAAGCCTGGACTTTACTGGGTTGTTTGAACTGCTTTGGGGCCTTGTCAGTAGCCGAAAAAACTGTTTATTCTTGGCAGTACTACCATAACGGCCAGTAAAATAACCAAGCCCTTGCCACAACATGCTTCTATTGATTTTACACCAAGGTTCATATACCTGAAGTTAAATAAAATTCCAATTTTTCAGGAGTATATAGGTTACAAGATATTAACAAAAATTAAAAATCAATTCAATATGCAAATGAGCCAATTAATTAAGTTGAAACTCAATATTGCATAGCATATATCTTATATTGACAAATCAAGTCTCTACCAAGTTTGGTCTGATTTGGACTATTAGTTCACAAGATATTAACAAGATTTCAAATTAATAATTAAATATGCAAAAGAACTCATTAATTGATTCCTTGAAAAAATCAATCAATGTGTAGCTGACCAGTAGTCACCCTACCAAATCTCAGTAAAATCGGATTTTACAGGATTTTGACATTCAAAATGGCCGCCAAGGAGCCATATTTGATCAAATCAGGAAATAAATCCATGTGAATATGTATACCTTCTCACTGCGTCTTTGTACCTAGTATCATTGAAATCAGTCAAGGCATCTCTGAGAAATATCAATGG